GGGTAGGAGACAGGCTGGTCCAGCAGGCAGGACATTGCTGCTGTCCTGCTGCTTTGGCCATGGGTGACCACAGCATGGCTGGGGGCAAGCTCCAGCTCCGGCTCTCTATCCCAGCCCACATTTAGCCTGGTTGGTGCCTGGGGAAAAGGCTGGCCATTTCCTTGCATAGCCATGCTTGGAACGATGGATCTCTTCTCTTGATTGGGACCTCTCAGGTCCCCACAGAGAAAAAGTATGTTAACAGGGAGCCACAGCGGAGAGTATGTGTTTAATACTTTGTGGGAGAAAAAAATAGCAGAGGTGCGATATTTATGTTAGTATCGGGCATTACAAATGCAGAAAGTTTTCACTCCTGGCTAAATGAAGAAGAAATAAAATCCTGTTAGGCAGTGCAGTGCTGAGTCACCCCTGCGGCCTGACTGCTGCCCCGCTGAGATGGGTAAAGACTATCTGGAAGCGTGTCTGAGGTCCAAATGGATTTCAGAATTGCTAGAAATTTCTTTCACTTCATGCCACATCTTGTAAGAGCTGAGGTTATGTAGATATTAGGGAGGGCAGTTTGGAGATTATTTCTGCTGCAAGAAAGAGAAGTCTCAGCTCGACTTTCAGATACCGGCTTCTGTTTCCTCAACTGCCTTCGGATTTGCCTGTGGACCATTATAATTTCTGGAGTGGAGATCTGCATCGTTTCATTACCGCTTCAAAGTTTCTGTTGTTGAGCTTTTAAGATGAAAGACTTTGCGGTCTTGCTGCTCCATAAAGTGACTGGTTTAGAATGATAAAAGCTTTTCTGGCTGTTCAGTGATGGGGGCTTATAGATATTTCTAACAAAAAAACAATTTCTCATCTGCAGCTGCTGCGGAAGTTTTACCTGAATAGTCATTTTCTGCAGCCAGTTCCTAGATTTATTGGGAACCTGGATCCCAGACTGAAAGGGAGAGCACATGCTCCTTGGGACCATCCTGCCCTAACACCCAAAATATATTCTGAGCTTCTCTGCTACAAAGCAGATGGTCCATAAGATCACTCGGTCTTCCTTCCAAAGAGTTAATGTCTGTGGTTATAGCGGATGGGTGCAAACCAGCCCTGCCAAGTTCTCCTCAGGCTTATGAACAAGACTCTTTCCTCCTTGCCTCCTTATTAGTCCATCTCTGACCAGCAGTGCCTCGCTGAAGTGGCAGATAAACAGCCAGTGAGGGAAGCAAACACAACTGTTTTCATACTAGCAGGGTCTGACTCTCAGCACACCAAGATGCTCGTCCTCTGGTTTGCTGAAGATCAGTATTTATCTGAAGTCGTCTGAGATATTTCCCTTGGCAGAAGACTCTCTTACTGCTTGCCTTCTCTTGAAAACAGCTCTGGAGTAAATCATGTATCAAAGGTCCTGATTTCATGCAGCCAAGCTCATAACCATTATTCACTAAAAAGCCGGGGCTCACCAAGCATTTATTTTGATCTTTTGGTAAAGCTTTGTTGATGAGTTTACTGGAAAACTTCTTCTGGGCCTTCACTTGCTCTGCGTGAGATGAAAACTTTCAAACATCATGAGGATGTGACATGAGACACTGGAATGCTACTTTTTAAGAATGCTACTTTTTAAGCAGCAGCCCAGTGCCAGCCACTGGTGTACTTGTTTGGGTTTATCCATCAGCCAGAGAGAAGAGAGAATTGTGCATTACCAAGGCAGAGACTTAAATAGATGGCTCTGAAATGCTGGCTGAGGAACCAGTGTCCCTCTCTTTTTTAGAAAGTAATTTCAAAAATTTAAATCAGCAGGGCCTAAGTAAATAGTTGAACAGATAATTTAATAAAGCATCCTCTTATGGTGCTATTCAGAGACAAGAATATTTGTAGCATGCCTAAAACCCCAAGGAGTCACCACCTCACAGCATCTGTCATTCAGAAAGTCCTTTTCTTCCTAGAGAGAGCCTCAGAGCATAAGAACTTTGCAAGAATTAGTTTGCTGAAAATGCAGGTAGCTCGTTTTAAACCGCACATGCCCCACCATCACACATCTGTGATAACACTGGCACCTGCGAAAGAAAAAGCAGTGGATAAGCACGTACTAAAACTGGCTTTCTGTGTCTCATGACCTCCAAACATCTGCAGGTTGAATGCGTGGAAGCCCGGACACTGGGAATGGTAGTGCTTCCACAGACACTACCTGGGCCCTTCTGAGAGCTGTAATTGCATTTCTTGGAGAATTTCTCAGTGCTTTGATGTTTGTAGGTGTTTTTGCCATCCAACCAGGTGTCTAGGCTGGAGCTTGTTGGTACTGGCCATGTGTCAGGTCTGCTCAGTGTTTAAGTCGTGACTGAGTTAGGGTGCTCCAGAGCTGCATCTCTTAGCAGGGTTCTCACTGTGCAGCTGGAAGTAGAGACACCACAGAAGTAGAATAAATTTAAGTATTAAGCACGAGACTGCTGAGGTCTTCAGACCAGTTCCAGTGGAGATGAAAAAACCCTTCAGTTAGCTGTCCTCTTTCATTCTGTCATCCAAACAGGGACTCCAAATCCAAGATCGGAGTTTGAATCCAGGCTTGCATCCATTTTCTGGAAAACCTACACTTTCAAATCAAGAGTTACCTGCTTTCCAATTCACAACACTGCTGGTGGGGCACTTTTGAGACTAATTTACACGATCTGTTCACCAGATCAAAACAATCTTTTGCATTTCTGTTCTAGAAGTGAGTGCCACATGGTGGATTATTCCAGGTGACAAAGTGGTTGCACAAGAGCATCCCTGGGGCAGTAAAGACTGGTTGGGAGCACAGATGAACCTGGAGATGATCACAACTTTCTGAACATGTTTAGTACATCCAACTTTTTCTTTTCCTAAGCACAAGGGCTCCCATGATTACCCTCAGCACTTCAGGAGATTCTGTTTGCTCTCAAGAGAATTGTATCCGGACTGACTCAGTGCTTGTATGGTTATAGCCCTGTACATCTCAAGATATCAAAGTACTGTACAAATCAAAGCTCATCCATCATTGGAGACCCTGAAGAGAAAGGAGATTAAATGATCAGTGAGCAGAGCAATGGCAGCTCTAGGAACAAGATCTAGATCTTTGGAATAAGACTCTCATGGCCAAAGTGGGAAGCAGAGATCATCTTTAAATCCATCACTTCTGTCTTCACAGTGTCAAAAGTGTGATTGGGTTGTCCATGCTGAGTCAGGGAATGGGGGAAGAACATCTTCAGCTCAACTTGCGCTCAAGTGGCACCTCATAGAGGTAGTCACTCAGGTCAGGAGGGCTGTATAGATGTGTGTGTGCAACCTTACATTTACTAACAGCAGGGATGACCCAGTGATGTCATGGCATTTCATCCAGTTCTGGAGCTAGAGGGAGATCCCTGCTCTGTTTCTTGCTGCCTGGTGCATGGCAGTGGTGAATGTCTTGACTCAGGACCAGCAGTTTAACTGGGAAAAGGCTTTGTTCAGCCGAGCATAGCCAACGAGCTAGCTGCTGGCACAGTTGCCTGGGATGTGGGCAGATCATCAAGCAGGACTTTATTTCCCCAAGTCAAACAGTGATTCAGCTTCACTGGCCTCTTTCAGCCAGTGTTGTTGGAGCCTTTCTACCTCAAGTAAATGATTTAATAGCCATCGGGGTAAGGAACAGGGCTGGCAGTGCAGCCCAGTGGTTACTGCAGTCCGCAGGCATATGTCTGGGAGAGGTGAGCTCAGGACTTTCCTACAGCAGGTTTATGTGAAGCCACTGCTCCATCAGGATGGATGGAGAGAGCCCAGACTCACGGCAACTGAGGCAAGAAGCGCCTCTCATGGGACTTGAGGGACCAGCAGCTCGGGGTTTGCAGACTGGATATGCTGGATCTCAGATGACTTTCCAAACAAGCCAGCTGTTGGCTACTCTGGGCAGACGGCACGCCCTGTAGTCGCTTTCTTAAAAACCCTGAAATATTTTTATTTTTTTCTGTTGTTTTCTTTGTCGCAGCACAGAATGGAAACTTGCTGAAATCTCAGAAAATGTTCAGAGGATGGGAAACAATTTCCCACCCATTTCTAGCCAGCAATGCTGTTTTCCTCCCCAGAAAAAATGTGTGCAGAGGAGAGAAAAGGTCCCAGAGCATCCCATAAGCGCTCTGTCTGGAATCCTGCTGCACTCTGGTTTCTAAAGAATTCAATTTACATATGCAAGTTCGGTCGTCTAAACAGTTACCTTGTGGATTGGGAGTACAAGAATGCAGCCTTGTCTTTCAGCAAGGATTTGAGAGAAGCATTGGTATTCCTTGAACTGCAAAGTTGATCGGCCTGGGGAGGGAAGAAAGAAGAGTCCCAGGACAGTGTCTGGTGCCAGAACAAATGTCCAGCATCTGCTGCAGTCTAAGTAAGACGTGTGGTGCTGCTGCAGAAGGGGAGAGGGCAATAAGGAACTGGCTATGTGAAGAGTGTTTGTAGTTTATTGCTTCTGCTTACTGATTAAAGGATCATCCTGTGTTTTTATGCTGCCTTTGGATTTAATTGCATGATGGGAGGAGGGGGATGTTTCTGTACACTTTGGGTGGGGTTTTCTTGGTGAGTAACCTGGAAGCGGGACTGTTTTAATAATGTGAATTTGTCTCAGGGCTTGGCTAGGGGATGCAGAGGAAGGAGTGGCTCTGGCTGTGTTTCAGTGAGGAGTTGGGGCTGAGCCATCTGCAGCCCATGTGCTTTACATGCTCATCCATTTGGAGGCAGATTCCCCCCATGTTCCTCTGCAGTCAGGACCTTAAGGAAGTGCCTGGGATTTCCTTGCCCTGAAGGAGCTTCAAAGGAGCTTTCACTTAGTGCCTGACGTTTCCTTTCAGGAGAGCCTTGCCGGCGCTATTTCTAGTGTGACATGAGGTCTGAAGTCTCCATCCAGGAAAACCATCTCTCGTAATGTCCCTCTGATGGCCCAAGGCCATGTTGAGTGTTCAGAGCAGGAACCTCTGCTCCTGCCTCCCACGTGAGCCAGGGTCTAACCCTGCCCTTCAGCGTGACACCGCTGGGAACAGCTGCGGGGGGCAGATCACAGGCTGCCACATGCGTAGCAGTGACCATTTGGCTCATCACTTGCCCGTTGTGCGTAAATATAAATTTGAGAAGAAAAGCCCAGTTTCCGAGCAACCCCTGGATGTGATAATTCATAGACGCTGTAAGAAATTGCCAAGGAAACCTTTACTTTTTACCAAGAAATCTGGACTTTCCTCCCAGCTCTAGCCTGGGACGTTTGGCATACATTGCCAATGTCACTGAGAAGTTCAACCTTGAATTCAGTGCTAGTTCAGAAATGGAATATTTAACGGCCCCCCACCCCAGGGAGAAATTACTTTCAGTTTTGAGCTGTGGTGTTTACATTTACTCTGCAAAGATAATGCTGCTGTAATGTGAAGCTTTTTCTACTGAGAAGTTATCCTAGGCAGTTTTAAAAGGTTTCTTAAAATATATGGATTATATTTATTCTCTAGCATGTTTTCCAAGTGGGAAAGCATTAGTTTGAAAGTAAAGGTAGGATACCTCAAACAGGGAGCCTCTAGGTCTGCCTTTAACCTTGTGTTTGTTCCATGTTCCAAAGTCCATAGAAGTCAATGGGAAGTATCTGCTGGCTTTAACAGCAAGATTCAAGATGAGAGGTAGAAGTAGCAGAACAAATTGCTGCAGGAACAGCCACCAGCCCTTCTGGGCATGCTGTAAATTTGCTGCCCTGGAAATATTATCAAACACTAGAAGAGGCAACAATACAAATTATCTCATGGAGTTGTCTTGTTTCTTGTTTTGCTGTGTGTGCTTTGGCCCTTCTTTCTGGACTCAGATGAGAGTTTTCCTACCTCTCAGTAGTATTCAAGGGAAGGAAACTGAAGGTGTAAAACGTCCCCATCTGAGGTACAGAGAAGTTAATTTTAAAACCTGAAACACTGGTAAATGAGTGGAGTGAATTTTAAAGTAATTTCCTACTTTTATTTCAATGTGTGACTTTTAAAAATTCATTTTAACCTATGGTGATTTTAGGTTTCTGAACAAAACATCTTCTAGAACAGCAACAGAAAAATATCATGGACTTTTGTTTTTTTTTCTTTCGAGAGTTTTGAAGGGATATCCTGGCAGTTTGGAAACTTCCCCCCACATATTTTCCAAACATCAGAGAAGTCTTGAAACTAACCCTGTTCGTTTTGATAAGTCAGCATTTTTGAAGGGGAGATGAGAGAGTGCTAGTGATAAATCCTCCTGAGGCTCTCCATCTCTGTGTCTGAAAAATGGATCCTGCCTTCATTTACTTTTCTGCATACAGTCACTGCTAAAGAAGTTGCATGTGGTTTCTCCTTTGAAACATCACTGAACCTCAGGCAACAGAGGATTTTTACCTACATATTCAAGGGGCTGTCAGTCGGCTCTTACTGAACACCTTGCCTATGTGTACAGCTACACTAACGCTTCGCTGCTGCCTGGTATCATTCAGTGTTCATGCTCGGTGTCGTTGGGTCAGGGGGTTAGGTCAGGCCAATTTTGTTATTAAGAATGATACCAGTGCAGCTGTTTTTGCATCTGATTTTGAACAATAATAATTTTGAAAAGGTTCCCTCTTCCCGAATGCTTCTTCGTGTGATTAAACTCCTTTTCCGTTTCCCAGACGCTTCCCTCCCCAGGCACCCTGGGCAGGCTGTCATTGAGAAGAGAGGAATTGTTCAGCCATAGCACGATTTTAGGTCACAGCTTTCTCTGGAAGCCCGCAAGACGTAAGAGGCGTTTGTGTAAAGCATAAGCCCAACCTATTGGATCTACTATCAAACATTTTAGAGAGCCCACGGTACTCACAAGATCTAAATTAGAGCGGACGCTAATGCAATGCATATTACTGGTTTTGGACTGGAGAATTCCCAGGCCAGCTTGCAAATCTGACAGCTTCCAGCAGAGTTTTACATGGGGAAAAAAATGACGTACCTGTGTGCAGTGGGGAGGGATGTCCATGTTGTTTGCACTGCTAAAACCCAGCTTTCTGTTGGACATCAGGACTTCTTCCCTCGGCAAATTAATGGTGACCAATGGCTGAACCAGCACTGTGGACATAAATCATGGGAAGGAGCAGCGAGAAATGAGTACAAGGCTTTTCTTTCTATTTAGTAATTTATCAAGGGAAGTGGCACATTAATAAACAGATCTCCCTTGAGGTGTGGGAATAACAGAGATAAATATGACTGTCAAATCTGGCCTGCTTCCTTCTGTTAGAGAAGGAGGAGACTGTGGGAATGCAAATGCAAAAAACTGTATCTGGAAAGACGCCTATTATTTGTAGGACAGCAACACAACTCGGCTGAGCTGGAGCCTCATCGTGCTTGGTGCAATACATACAGAATAAAACACAAGCCCTAGCTAAAGGAGCTCATCTAAATAGATGACACTGGGAAACAGGGACACAATAAGAAGCAGGAACTTGCTCAAGCTGATGTGGCTGGGCAGGACTGGGAACAGCACCCAGGTCTTCCCAGGTTATGGCCTATGTATTGAGTGAAGAGGAGGCCAGAGGAGGAAAAAACCCCACTTTAATTAGTTCAATTCCATGAACACATAAATATGTTCTGAACAGAACACAGTTTTGTTCATTATGATCTAGACCCAAGCAACCCTCATGTTGGCTCTTTCCAGGGTTGTGGCAGGGCCCAGATTCCATGAATCAGATGAGATGTTTGGGAATGCTCCACTGCAGCCTTTAGGCAGGTCCAGCCTGAGGGGAGTCCACTTGCTCATTTTGGATTTGTGTCCCTATTGCCTTTACGAACTAGCTCCTCCTTTTACAGCTCCCAGAAGTGCCACTCGCACCGTGGCAGAACGGGGCTGGAGTCTGCCAGCTGCAAGCGTTAAGAAAGTTTAGGTCTACTCCCTCCAAATCATGGGAAAGGAGGTGATTTTCACAGATCACTCTGTGCTCTTTCTGTTTGCGGTCTGACCTTGACTCATGCTTTCTAGCATCTTCCTGCCCCACAAGGCTGTTTGCAGTAGTTATAGAAGACACTGTAAGAAGAACGTGTTCAGCCAGTGATCTGATTTTTAGGAGAAATTCCCAGTAGTGTCAGGATCGCAGTAAAGGCATTGCAGCTAGCAACTCTTGAAGCTTCTTAGGTGCAGGACGAAAGTCACAAGAGTGTTTGGTTCAAGTACCAGCTTAGCCTTGAACTTAAGTGAGACCATGGGCAAGTCATTTATCTTGTGCAATGAGGGACATTATGGGTAATAAGGGGATTGTGGTACGAAACCCCATAGATTACACAGCACCAAAGCATGGTAATGACAGAGCCACTTAGGTACACGGGTGAGTCATGTGGAGACTGGGAGACTGCAGCCCAGCCACTGGTCTTAGGGAAATGTTGACACAAACTTATCTGAGCCAACACAAATCAAGGAACTACTTGGTCACGCTGGTAGGTTATATTTTACCTCCTTGTACAACCCATTCACCCTCTCTCATACCAGCTCTGTCACCAGGATGGAAAGTTTATGCTTTTGCAAAGTGCCAGGCTTGTATTTGGTGATCTGCAACCAAAATCAGTCCCTTCAACCAAGTAGAGGAAAATAGCTCTCATATTGCCTGTCTGAGCAAGTTACTGTTTTGTTCACAGTATTTAAGAGGATATACCCACAGCAAGCTTTCTGGGGAGACTGCTGCTGGAGAAGTCAGGTAGTAGTACGGTGCTGTGCTCAGGAAGGAGCTGGAGCAGCTGAGCCCTCCTGCACCTTGGGTGGATGATGGGAATTATTAGCTGGACCTCATAGCAAAGTGGCATATTTTACCCTTAGAAGCCTTTTTCTTCTTGTTTAAATAGGCGACCTAAATGCTGCTGTCATTGCTTTGGAGGGGTAAGCCATTCCAGGCAGCGCTAGGGCTTGGCAGGCTTTGAATCTGGTACCCTGATATCGGGAAAAGTTGCAATACGCCCCATCCCTGGGTCCAGTCCATGCCACCCTGGAGATCTGCAGGTGGGTCAGGCCTGGGTAGAGTTTCCTCTGGATTAAGTCAGTCGTTCCAGTCAGCAGTGCCGAAACACTGGAGGAGGCCAAGTTTGTACAGTAGTAACTCACCATGTATTGCAGATCCACAAACAGGACTGGCAGGGTTGGAAATGACTTCATGCCCGAAGAATGATTGACAATTGCTAATAGGGTCCAGGCACTGGCAGGTCCCTTCGGAGGGGGAGAGCTTGAACTTTGTGCCTGAGCTGCCAAATTGGTTTTCTTAAAACTCTTCATTTACTTTCGGGGCTCCTGGAGCCTCGCCTCCTTCATTAATTGGATGGTCAGCATTGTGCTCGCGCTCGTTTGGTTTCCGCTCCCTCCGCACACAAGCACACACACCATTTCCAAGGGTCGCCCTGGCTCTGACGTGCAGCTCTTCTGACCCGCTGCTCCTGCCACCGAGTCAACGGGGACGACTGTGCTCATGGAAACTTTGCGGGGCCTTTTCCCTTTTAATTTAAAGTCAATTTAGTGCCGATGAAAAGGAGGTGATGGGCAGGCTTCTGTTTATCCCCTGAGGAGGGCGAAGCTAGCGACAGCCGCAGTGCCACCTGACCCCTGCCATTCAGCGCCCGGCAGAGAGGAAACTTCCCATCAAAGTGCAGCTGGTCCCTGCACTGGTCCTGGCTCCCAAACATCCCACAACAGTCACGCCCGCAGCAGGTCTCAGCACCTCCCACCCTGCTGCAGGAAGGGAGCAGCCCGCTGGTTTTGCCTGACAGAGTCTCTCTTTCCTACAGTTTCCCGGTTTTCGAGCCCACGGGTGACTCCAAGATTAAGCCGAAAACGAGCCCTGTCCATCTCCCCGCTGTCTGATGCCAGCATCGACCTCCAGACGATGATCAGGACCTCCCCAAACTCTCTCGTGGCATATATCAACAACTCCAGAAGCAGTTCAGCGGCGAGTGGTTCCTACGGCCATTTATCTGCCGGGACAATCAGGTAAAGCTCTGGGATGGGCTCAGTTCAACTGCATAACCATCCCTCCAAAAGGAGGGGTGAACCCCCAGCAAGGGAGCTCTTCCCTGCCTCGCAACCTCTGCTTCTGTGCATCGGGGCTGTGTAGTCACCACCTGGTTTTATATGTAGAAGGGTACTTTGTGGTATACGGTGGTGTTTGGGTGGTTTTTTCCTGAATTAGGATTATTGGTTACCACGTTTTGAGTAATTACCGTCTGATCGTGCCTTCCTGTAAGCAGAGACAGAGAGTAAATTTATCTAATAAAATACTCATTGTGAGCGGTTGGACTGGTTAGGAAACCCTCTAGATTTAAGAGATTGCCCTAAAGTATTCTCCAAGTTATTGGCCCACATTCTTGAACAAAATGTTGTCTGGGTGGATTGAAGAGCCTAATTCTGAAAACATACTTGAAACAAATCTAGGCCCTTGAGTAAAGTTTTGTTCAAATCTTAATTAAAAAGCACTTACACTAAGCAGCTCACTGTTGTCAATTCCTACCATGATTGCTTCACCCAGGTTTCACAATGTTATTCTTTTTATTACTTAACTGTTAAAAATGTTAGACCTAATTAACGCTGATGTCGCAAAGCAAGGGTTTATAAAGATCACGCACTCTCAAAATTTGTAGGGGAAAACAGAGATATTGCCGTTGGTAACTGTAACATTGATTTTATAAGTTACTTTATCCAGCAGCATCATTTAGAAATTGACTGTAAAATCAAACATAATGGTAACTTTAATAAATTACAACTCCTTGTCTGGTAATCATATTTTTCTTGTCTTTCCATCTGCTGTTGTTAACTGGGCATACCTGTAGCATCTCATCTTATACTCAGATTTTAAGATTTTCAGGGTAGAATCTGGTATTTTCAACAAATCAGTAGAGAGCAGAGCCTGTCCTAATGGCCAGCTCTTGGCCTCCAAGGGAATAATTAAGTAGTAATAAAGAACTTTAAACTCTTCTTGGTGTTCTAAAGGTGTATCTCAAATGTCAGGAATTCTAAAATGGGTTACATATATAACAGAATAACTGTCAGCAATTTGGGGTGAAAAGACTTTTTTGTTATTATTTTAACAATGTTTCAGCAGTAGGAATTAAATCCTTTCTCACCCGTTCAGACCCATATCCTAGTAGCACTTTAGAAAGTCATTTTTGGACTTGCTGTAACATAACAAAGCTGTGCAGCAGCCTGCCATCACACCTCATTTGCTGCAGCACGTATTTAACTCCTAGAACTCTTTTACACTGTCGTGAATTTTGTCATTTATTCTTCTGGTCAAGTTGTCATTAACTGGTTTGGAACAGAAATACTAATTTTATGGTCACCGGCAATAAGTATTTTCTCTAAAAGCCAAATTGGAAATGAAGCGTGTTGCTAATTATGGCCCTGTTTTCTGAGCTTTCACACTGTGGGCAGTTTTAGTGATGTGAGACAAAATGCCGTCAGGGTAAAGGTTCAGGGTGGCCACCTCTTAAAAATGACAAATGATAGATTTTTGGGCTTAGAGTCTACGGTTTGTGCATCACCCACCTGAAGTACAGGGAGCAGAGCTCCTCTCGTGATTCTCCCTCTCTGCCGAGAGGTCTCAGCCCTGGGAGTGAACCTCTTCCTTCCGAAAGCAGAGCTTTGGTTTTACTGCTGTCAGCTGCTGCATCCTGGCTCAGACCTGTTGCCTTCAGTTAGTGCCCAAGCAGCCAGGAGCTGGTGGTGTTTCTGGTCTCTGCTGACCTAGATTGGAGCTGAACCAGTGACCTACATATGAAGGGTGACATACTTCAGTAGTCCCCTGAGCCAGCACTCCCCTCACCTGAACACACAGAAAAGTGCATGGTTTTGGACTATGTAAAATGGATAGTTATTCATCCCTACTGTGATCTGTGCCAGGTGAGCCAGGTGATTGCTGGTTTTACCCAGGGTAGCATAACCCCAAGGTTGCAAGTCTGCAGAATAGTTCTGCCCAGCAAAACCCAGGAGCCGTGGGGGCTGCAAAGGCAGATGTGTCCGAATCCCATCCTCTTCTGCACTCCCTGCCAAGGGCTTTCTCTGTTTTTAGACATAGGAAGCAAAGAAATTACAACCACTCTGAAACATGGGTCAAAATGATTCACAAGTTTACTGAGGCACACGCGAGACAAATCCTGTCTTTGCAGTAAAGCAGGCTGTCAGGCTTATCGTGGCATTGAAGGCATCTAGCTGGAGCATTGCAGCCTGTCTCCTGGAGACTCCATGAAGCCAGACCTGAATCAGTCACGAGATAATGTGGTAAATATTGTTTAAGATAACTCCTCATCATTTTTCTTCTTCCTATTGCTGCAGTCCGGCGTTCAGCTTCCCCCACCCCATTAACCCCGTGACATACCAGCAGATCCTGACCCAGCAGAGAGGCCTGAGCTCAGCCTTCGGACACACTCCTCCTCTGATCCAGCCGTCCCCGACCTTCCCCCCGCGGCAGCACATGGCAGTCATCTCAGTCAACCCACCAGCAGCACAGATCAGCAGCAACAGCAACTGCATCTCTGACTCTAGCCAGGTAGGGATGGTCATCCTGGCTCTCTCTGGGCATCACACAGGGAAATGGAATCACGTTCTCCATGGGATGACTGCTGCCCATCATGGTGGCTGTGGGAGTCTCTCTTTCTGCTAACGCTCTCGCTTTACATTGCTTTTTCTTCCTCCTGGCAAAGCGTTTATGGACTAGTCACAGCCAAATATTGTGCTCACCTCCCTTCCTAGCACGTAGATGTATCTACCCATGCAGGAACCAAAGGCCTTGATCTGTCAAGGCGTTGAACGTGATATGCAGGGTCATCTCAGGCAGCAAATCTCCTTGAACACCTATTATGTGCTATTGAAACCAAGAGAATTCAGCACATGCTGGAGTATTTTTACCAGATAAGCACCTGAACACTGTAAATCAAGCTTCATCAGTTCCTTCACCAATCCTTCCTTCCGTTTTTCTACTGACATGAATGATGCCAATGGTCTTAAAACAACTTATTCCTTTGCTCTTTAACAAATAGGCGCATCCTAGCTAGGACCTCTAGCCATTTTATTTACTGTTCCTTCTTTTCCAGTAGTTTCTCTCTTGGGTATCCTTGCTGTTGATTTTTACTGTTAAGGTTTTCAAAACCATTGGCTAAATTCTGAAAACTAGGAATGCTGTGATGTGTATGAAATCCCATACCTCTAACGCATCCTCGCAAATACCTGTGAGTTCACACAGGCATGTGTACACAAGCCCTCCACATCCACAGGGTTGGTGAATATCCCTAGCACATTTTTCATCATTTTTCCCTCCCATTTTTCTTCCCTGGAAGCTTAAATTGCAGGGTTTTTTCTCCCCAAAGACGTATTTCACCTCATTTCACACCCATTTCACATTGTTGTTTTAGTTGTATCAACTGAACTTTTCAGACTGGTTTATTGTTTTAGGGTTTCTCACGGCTGCTGCACTGCAAACTGTTTGTTATTGAAGGTTATTTGATTGATTGGTTTTGTTTTCTTCTTACAAACTGGCTACCAAAATAATGTGGCTAGCGGGAGTTACGCCTCTGTTTAATAACTTGCAGGACCAATCTTGAGCAATTAGCAAGAGTATATTTAAAATGTTAATGTTCCAATTTTATGGACATACAATAGGATGTTTTTTCACCTGAAGTTGCTCTCATTTTTTAAAAGCTTAGCAAAATATACACATAGCCTTTCATGCACCCAGCACACAAGAGCCCTTGCCTGTAATCAGAGCCCCCCGCTCCCCCCAGGAATTAATTTTCTCAACAAATCATTTCATGACATTGAGAAATAAAGGCATAGCTTGGATGGAGGTTGCGTAAGGTTTTGGTGGCTTTGACAGAGACTGGATCTCTCTGAAACAGAGCAGTAGTGGCAAAGCCAAGCTCACTGGTGAGACTGCAGAAACTCATGCTGCCCCTTCTCTCTCTTCCATCTCTCTGCTTCCGCAAACCCACACGGTCTCGTTTTCATGTGAAACTGGGACAGCAGACCCAATCCTCTGTTGACTCCAGCCACTCCTGAAGTTCAACCTTGACTGCTTTTTAAGCTAATTTTTAATGAGGAGGTGGACTCCAGTCTCTCTGTCACCCCAAATCCCAGTGACACCTCTTGCCTGGTTTCTCTCTCCCAGAGCAAGCCGAGCAGCGAGTCGGCCGTGAGCAGCACAGTCAACCCAGTGATCAACAAGCGCAGCAAAGTCAAGACTGAAGTCGAGGGCTTGCCCCCAGCGTCCCCAACCACACAGGTAACGTTCCTGGTGTGAGGCATGGGAAGGCAAGGCAGCAAGCTGCTGTGTCTCATCATCTTTGGGAACAACACTCTTGACACCTTTTGCTGCAGCTGGGAGCAAGGCATCAAAGTCTGCCAGGCAGGCAGGTGTCTCCTGGAGCATGAAAGCCAGCAAGGTACAGGGCAGAGCTGCAGTGACTGAGTGAAGCATTCAGTGGGACTCAACCTGCAGTTATTGTGCTTGGATAGAAAAAAAAGGAGGGAGGGAGTATTTCAGGGGTGATAATTCAAAAATTATGTCTGAGTGTTCTGTACTGCAAAACAAGCAGAATAAGAGTCTCAAAGCAAACAGATTACAAGGGAATCTTGCATGTAGGTAGAAAGCTTGTGAAAAAAAAAAAGGACAACTTCTTGATTGAACAAGGAATTGCTTCTAGAAACATTCTTTACACTGGTGACACAACATTTGACACCAAACAGGGCCCAAAGGCCTTTGCTTTCTTTCCGGAGCTCTGTGATTGCAAACTGTTTAATGGTTGACAGTATCCATCTGACCGTCCTTTATCACAACTGTAAACTATCAAGAGTGCTCTGGGCACTTCATTTTCATGAAATATTAGTCTGTGTTATTGTCAAGCGAACGGAACAGTTGATGACAAATTTCTTCTTCTGCCCTGGTTCAGGAGCAGGTCTCAGCATGATGCATGGGGACAGCAATGTGTGCAGTCATCGGGGGGCTGGTAAAATTGATGAAGATAACATATCAGGGAAAGATAAATATGCTGTAGTCAGCATGATTAGGGCACAGAGACACCTCTCTGGAGCTTTGAGTTTAGGAGTGCATCTACATGCTGCTGCAAAAGCACATGCCCCGAAAAACCAATCAGGCCACCACCCAGGCTAATCGGGCCACATGTTTATTTTTTGCAGCAAATGAAAAAAGATTGGAAAGCCATCACCTGCTTTCTCAAAGCATCTGTAGCAGAGGAGCTGTGGGACAGCCAGCTGCTCGCTCAGTGGCCATCATCCTCTGTTCTCTGCTCCGATGTGAAGAGTCGTGTGCCCAGCTGCACGGAGAGCTTGGACAGCATCAGCCTGGCTCACCCTTGCAGCCCTGCCCCAGGGTTTCATTCACTGGGTTTTACGTGAAATGAGCACTGAAAGAAGGAGGAGGGGCAGTTTAAAGTGGTGCAGGGAGGTCTCATTAGAACAGCAAGGTGAAATTAAGAGGAAAATGCATGCGGGTCATCTGATAGTCCCTAATGAGGAGATCTGTGAAGTAATACCGCAAGGGAAATGTAGGCTTCATGTCTTGCAGCATTTCAGTATTGACTGGGAAATAGCTGGAAAGTACCCTGTAGGAGACAGCCCATTCTTGGCAAGGAGAACAGATTAAAAGAATGAGCGTAGTGGGTGTCTCCTCTTCAGTTAGTCTAAGCAACAGCAACTTGTTAAATTTGGAGATTCCTCTTCTGCAGGAGACTGTGCTGAAAAGTTGAGTTGCAGTCAGTTAATTATTGACTGATACATTTTTTTGAAGAGTATGAAGCTCATCCATCCCAAAAAAAGCATGCGTGTGTTTTGTTTTGGAAATGCTGTGCTGGAAACGCCTCATGTGAGTTGTGGTTTGGGTGTTTAAAATCCTTGGCCAGACAGTATCTCCCATGATGGCTTGTGCTATAAAAAATGCAATCCAGACGAGATTTGTGGGACACAGTGGAGCACTAGGCATGAGAGACTTGAGTTACTGTACTCTTATGATACCGCAATAGCTCCACTATAGATTCAGGTTAATGTTGAACTAGCCAGAAATGAAACAAGTTAATCCTCTTCAACACATTAAACTGGTATCAATTAAAATTTTCCAACAGAAAGCAAAAAAAAGGTAGCAAAATAAGAATTTTAGTGGAAAATTTTACTTTCCCAGAGACCACATTTTGTGTGAAGATAAATGTTTCAACAAAAATCGTGTTCACAAATCAACCAAATAGGAAAAATAAGCTGCTGTTTGAACTATCTCAGACTATTTCTCTGGGCTTTGATATAGGTTGAACCTCCAGAAGTCTTTCTGTAACTTACTACAGTTTCCTGTCCCAAGAGACACGTTACAAAATATTTATTTTTGTTTTAAATTAAGACCTAATTAAAACAAATCTCTTCCTCTCCGTATCTAAAATTTGAATTGAGAAGTCAGAGCTGGCATGAGCTGGTTAATGAAAATTGTTGACCTTTCATACAGTACGTCTCACTTTCCAAGCCATATAATGCTATTAAGTCATTAATCATTGCAGCCCTCAGTAGGCATTGGGAAAATGTTGGTGAGGAAGGAGATGGCAGCCAGATAAGTCCGTCTGAGCAGGTCAGAGGCAGTTTGAGATGGATCTGGCTGTGTCTGCACACTTATGGGGCCAAGTGGAGGATCAGATCATGAGGCACAGTGTCTGATGTGGTCACTCACCCCAGATGCTCCTGTCTAAAGCTGCCCTAGAGGCGGGATGCTCTGTGCTGGGCAGTAGTAGTAACTGGGAGGAAAGGGAATGAAGGGGGTCAAAACCTGCAGGGTTTTGTATTGTTAAATTCCCAAGCCAATATTGGCTGCTGATTGCCTTGTCTGTAGTGCAGGTGTCTGACACATTGAGAGCCGACAGTTGTCCTTACCTCTGAATCGTACTAATTATGTTGTATGTTACACTATTGTGTAGGTACCGATGCTTTAATCCTCATAGCAGCCGTAACAAAAATTTTCTGTGCTTCATTTAGCACTGAGGAGCTGGCTAGACAGAGAAGTTAAGGAGAGAGCTCACAGCGTGCTCAGCATTAAAGTAACTCATTTGTGAGTCCAGAGCCCTTGGAGCTCAGCCCTGCAACCCACTCATCACTGGGTTTTGCTCAAACTTCAAAATTTCCCTCTCTCTGAGGAGTGCTTTGAGAGCTCGCTACTTTGTCCCTGTGGAGCACCCTGCGGGTATAAATCTTTAGGTGAGGATTATGTATAATTTTCTCATCCATTGAAAGATGCAGAAAACAGGACCCACCCCCCTCCCCAATCCATGTCAGATGAGTGTTGTAACCACTCTTACTGCTGTGCAGTTTCTTCATGCTCATATTTCCCCACTCACCACAGATCAAAAGTTTTGCTCCAGCAAAGAACACAACCAAAGGTTAAAAGCCAGCCTTTTCCTTCCTGCAGTTTTTCCTGGGACTACCCATGACCTCTCTGGAGCCAGGCACTCCTGCAACTATGACTTTGGGGTGTTTCATGTCTTGTCATTAACTCTGATCCATTTCTACCAAAACTCTGTAATTCATTATTTCACAGTAATCAAGGATGTTATGTTGTCACAACGAGTACGGTTTTGTGATCAGTTGATACCTGCCCTGTAATCTATGACTGACGGAGGAATTCAGATGAAAGAAGTTCACCTTGTACAATGCACCATTGTGTGTTGCAGGAGCATCTGACAGACCTGAAAGAAGATCTAGATAAGGACGAATGTAAACAGGAGCCTGAAGTTATTTATGAGACAAACTGTCACTGGGAAGGGTGCACAAAGGAATATGACACTCAAGAGCAGCTCGTCCATGTGAGTAATGGTTGGGAGGAAACCCCAGTGATAAATTTGGGTTTCTCTGCACTTCTCTTCATTTTTTATCACTAGCTGCTGTACAGCCAGAGCTCACTCTGGGAGCTACTAAAGGTGCAAATGAGGGATACGGTGTGTAAACACTGCCAAAGCAGGTCGCTGCTCCCCAGGGAGTTTAGCTACAAGAAGCCTCTCATAGATTATTTGATGTTGCTCCCTGGCAGCTGCTGAGGCTGCAGTTTCGGTCTCCCTTGTGCATGATCTGGTGACAGAAGACTCTGCACAGAGGACCTGATGAGAAAATGGAGAAGGGGGCTGAGCCCTTCCCTCTTCTCTGGCCTTATTCACTGCACCTACACCAGCTATGGGTTGGGGATTGTCCATACTGTCCTCAGTCCTTGTCCAGACCATGAAAGCCTTTTATGCTGCTGTGTATCACTTAGGGCCTGTTGACCTGCTCAGCTCATCCCTCCAACAAAAATAGAGCGCTTCCAGAGTTTGGAGACGTGCTCCAGTGCATCTATCAGGGCACAAAATATAGAAAGTGGGTTGATTTTTTAAAAACTGGGAAATAGGGCTTTCATAATCACAGTGATGTCCCCAAACCAGTGTCAGTGCTTCTCTCTGAAGGATCCCCAAACAAAGTCATTAATCAGATTTTCAGTTCTAATTAATTTCAAGAACCTTTTGTGTGCTTTACTTCACCTGGGAATCCACCATTTGGTTTTCTTTGGCTTCTGGGGTCAACAAATCCCTCAAACTTGGAGCAAGTGCCTGTGAAATCAGGTGTGATCTGTGTGTGAGCCCCTTCCTGCCCCCTGTCACCCTCCTAGTCCTTATTTTGGGTTTGTGGTGCAAGCCCTAGTTGTTTGAAGCCAGCCCAGAGCTGCTGGGTATTCACCAGCCCCAAAAACCCTGTTACTTGCAGCAAAGTGTTGGATTGAGGAATTTTTGTGACAGGACCTGCTGTCTTCTCCTTTCCCTTCAGCCTTTTGCTGCATTTCTCAGCTGGGCTCCAAGCATGCCAGGAGCCACCCATGTGCAACTCACATGTAGCCCTCTTCCAGAGGGCTTGGCTCTGTTCTCACCCTTTTTTGTATGTCTTCATTTTAGTCATGTTTGGATGCCACCAAGCAGGCATCAGTCTCTGTTTCCCCAAGCTCTGCGCACAAACATTGTCTGAGCCCAGGGGCACCACACTCCAAATGATAATTTTTAGGCATGTGCTCTTCTCCCAGCAAAGGTTTGAATGGGCCCACCTCTGCCAGAAGTCAGTGGAACGGTGCAGCAAGACCTTGAGCACAAAGATTTGGAAATGATTTTCAGGGCCAAATGAGTGATAAGATGCTTAATGAGTTGCACATTGCATGGCACAGGGTGTTGCTTTTCTGGGGTTAAACCACAGCAGCCCCGTCAGATGGACTGGGCTCACATTCGTCCAGCAGTACTTGTGCGTTTCCCGCTCAGACGTAAGAAAAACTTTAACTCTGCCCAGAGCAAAGTGCAGGGCAGATCCAGGCAGCTCAGCACAATTTATTTCCGAAGCAAACCCAAAGAAAAATATTTGATGGAATGTCCAAAATTTTCCTAAATTTGGAAGGCTATAAAAATGGAGGCTTCTGTACTATGATTACTAGCAACATGGGATTGTGGATTTGGGATGCCCAAAATATACATGCAGATGAAATACAGATGTTGTGAGCCAACATCTGAGAAGGTGGCATCCCACCGCGCATGGAAAAACTCTGGTTTGTGTGCAGAGCAAAGTACCTGGGTGTGCAGGGTCCATTCTTCACACAGAGTGAGCAATGTGCTTGTGGGAGAAGTGCATGGCTATGGGGAGCAACAAGAATGAGGACATATTTTTGAAAGCACCACTGCTGCTCCCAGCCTTGCAGGTCACACTCAGTTTGAGAGAAGCCCAAGCATGGTTTACAAGCAAAGGTGAGGGTTTGATGTGGGCTATGGAGCCGTAGCTGAAATGTGGTGAGTTGTGCAACTGCTCCTCCACCACATGATGGGAAGCAGATGCTGCCCAGACAGTGAGTTAATAAGCCTGAAGGGAGCTACAGTCATGTGTCCCCCCCCATAAATGTGTCTTCCTCTAGCCCAAGCAGGACTGAACAGACAAGCCTGTGCACTCCCCAAACCCTAGCACTGCTGTGCGTAGTCTTGATTGTAAGTCAGATTCCCACACAAACAGTGCCAAGAAATGTATCTTCCCAGTCTGGTCTGAACATGGTTTAGTATGTCCATGGGTCTCCTGGGGGGTACACGAGTTTTCCACCATCTGAGGCTAAAAGCTCACACCAATGCCATATTATAAAACCAGAACCACAGACAGCTGAACCCAAACCCAACCTCCCAGCCCTCCAGGCAAACAGCTTTGGCTCTCGGTGTTTACTTGTGGTGCCTGAGCACCCATCTGAGCACCACATACCTCCTCTTGCCCTGTGGTAGACCTTGTGTCCCAAACAGGAGGTCCCTGTTCCCAGGATTGGGCCATGGCACACAAAACTCTGGGGCTGGATTTCACTGGGACTGTGAAGGTGAGTGATTCTGGTTTAATGCATTTTGGTGTCCTCCTCCTGCCTCACCACCCCAAGAAAGTCTCATCCCGAGCCGCAACATGTGTGCCTGGCCTTGGCCAGAGGGATGAGGGCGGGGGCTGGAAAAAAATCTCAGTACAAAAAAAAACCCAAACCCAAAGTGGTTTATTTTAGGATTTCCTGTCAGTGAATGTCTGCTGAAAACACAGGAGCGAGGACAGGCATTATTTTTGGCAGCAAGACCCCGTTCAGGGAGACAGGGCCACCGAGGGAACAGTGCTGCTGACGGGCTGGTCTCCGGCTCTGTTTATTTTCAGCAGAACTTCATCTGCCCTGGGCTGGGAAAAGCCGACCCTCATCTTCCTTTCAGGGTGGATGAAGGCACCATTCTGGGTCTGACTTTTCAACACCTCAGCACAGGATTTCACGGACTGGAGTAATTAGCAGTAATTCAGGCCACCAAGCTGTCCTTGGCGCATAGCTCTCAGATGCTGTCATTTCCTGCCAGCCGTCAGCGCTGGACAGCAGGTGGATGTCTTAAGACCGTCGTATGCAAGCTTAGAATCATAGAATCCGATGCTGTCATTTCCTGCCAGCCGTCAGCGCTGGACAGCAGGTGGATGTCTTAAGACCGTCGTATGCAAGCTTAGAATCATAGAATCCTAGGATCATTTAGGTTGGAAAAGACCTTTAAGATCATCATGTCGAACCAAGGCTTGTCTCCTACTCTCCTCCGTTCTCTAGCAGCACCCTGGGAAAGGGTCCCAGCTGCATAAATGCAGCACAGGAAGGGTCAGCAGAGACAAAA